TCTGTAAACAGCCGAGAAATGCTTGATTTTTATGATTTTTTAGCACAAAAATGGCCGCCATTCGGCCATCTTGAATCAGATGGTAAAACAAAATGATGTTCATCAAGGTCCTATAATGTCCAACGTATATAGAAGGTTTGAACAAAATCCATCTGTAAACGGCCGGGAAATGCTTGATTTTGATGATTTTTAGCACAAAAATGGCCGCCATTCAGCCATCTTGAATCAGATCGTGAAACAAATTGACGTGCATATGTATGATATCATGTATGATGTATGTGTGAAGTTTGATTGTGATTGGTCCAGGCATTTCTAAGATACAGGCCCGGACGCACGCACGAACACACGGAGGTCAAAACATAAGTCCCCATTTTCGGACTGCGTTCGAACGGGGACTAACAAGGACAAAAGAAACTTAATTTTGACTGTTGAAATTGGAGACGCTATCGCTAGTACATTGAACAGACTATTTTTTCAGGTGTCAACAATACAAACACACATATAATACACCCATTGTATGTTTAATGCATTTAGCATGCATGCTTTACAATATATCAGAACATTCCATTGATGTGTACTACACGATGAGTTCTAATATTACCCCTGTACATTGTCATTCACTTCCTCTGCTGGTAGAAGTGTCGGTAGTTCTTGTTCATGAAAAGTACGCCCAATAGGTTATGACCCTGTAATTACTGGTCCAACAGGATTAAAGCCATAAGAGATTCTGTTCCTATACATAGACATTTTTTGCAGCATGTAGATATATTGGTGTTAGAATTCACCAGATTGGGAGACTTCTGGTGGAATTACCTCGATAAGGAGATATTTTTTGAAGTGTGTATGCATTTAGAACAGACCAACAGCAAGCTCAATACAATACTAGCGAAAATAGAATAAAGTTCTGATTGTGAAATACTCTCGATATTTTAACTTAATTTGATTACATTAGACAATTTTTGGGGAGGTTTGTCTGAAACTAGTAGGGTGTGAATCAATTGGAACGTGTCAGTTTCCAATTTAGCTTAAGCAACACCCCTGAAATCCGGGCCTGAAATGTGTTTGAATTAAATATATTCTGAGTTTGATGAAAAAACATCATTTTCCCCCTATTTTTTGGCCAAACATGAAATTTTTCACCCAATAAGACCCCTTTTGTAGACTTTGATTGGGAAGTGACCTTTTTTAGTCCCGTTCGAACGCAGTCCGAAAACGGGGACTTGTGTTTTGACCTCCGTGTGTTCGTGCGTGCGTCTGGACCTGTATCTTAGAAATGTCTGGACCAATCACAATCAAACTTCACACATACATCATACATGATATTATATATATGCACGTCAATTTGTTTCACGATCTGATTCAAGATGGCCAAATGGCGGCCATTTTTGTGCTAAAAATCATCAAAATCAAGCATTTCTCGGCTGTTTAAACTTGGTATATACATTAGACATTATAGGACCTTGATGCACATCATTTTGTTTCACGATCTGATTCAAGATGGCTGAATGGCGGCCATTTTTGTGCTAAAAAATCCTACAAATCAAGCATTTTTCGGCTGTTTACAGATGGATTTTGTTCAAACATTTGACATTATGGGACCTTGATGCAAATAATTTTGTTTTTCAGATAAGATTCAAAATGGCCTACTGGCGGCCATTTTGTATTAATGAATGTGGTTCTCGTGCCATATCTCTGACCTGTTTTGACTGATTATATTCAAATTTTAAATATTTATTATACATTGTGTCATAGATAGACAGATATAATGGTTTGACGATCCTATTCAAAATGGACAAATGGTGGCCATTTTTGTGCTAAAAAATCATCAAATATCAAACATTTCTGGATGGATTTTGTTCAAACTTGGTACATATATTAGACATTACAGGGTCCTGATGCACATCATATATTTTTCAGATCGGATTCAAAATGGCTGTCTGGCGGCCATTTTGTTTTGATGAATGGGCTTCTAGACCCATATCTCCGACTTGTTTTGACTGATTATATTCAAATTTTAAATATTCATTATACATCGTGTCATAGATAAACAGATATATTGGTTTGACAATCCTATTGAAAATGGCCGAATGGTGGTCATTTTTGTGCTAAAAAATCATCAAATATCAAGCATTTCGGGATGGATTTCGTTCAAACTTGGTACATACATTAGACATTACGGGTTCCTGATGCACGTCATTTTATTTTTCAGATTGGATTCAAAATGGCTGACTGGCTGCCATTTTGTTTTAATGATTGGGCTTCTAGAGCCATATCTCTTAAATGCTGACTGATTATATTCAAATTTTATATATTCGTTATACATCATGTTATATATATACATGTATTCAAAATGGCTGATTTTGAATGCTGTTCCAGAGCAATATCTCTCAATATGGACAAGTACTTGTTTGACGATCAGATACAAATGTCAATCATTTTAATGTTAGAAAATCATATTCCTGACATGGTTATATTCCAGCTATATTACTATAAACAAAACTATATATCTTAAATTTGATAACTAACGGGGACTGTGCCATGCATGGCTTGTTTACTCCTAAATGTGCATGAATCATAAAGAAACATGATTATTTAAACTGCTGCACAACTTGTGTACAAATCTGATCATGCGTTCTGGAGTTATGTGAAATGAACAGAACCACATCCACGAGTCCCTGTCTTGGACTGTGTTTTGTAATGCCGATTTATCACTAATGTATTGCTAGATTCAGTTGAAAGTTTGCATTCACGTACTGTACTGGCAGGTTAAACTGTAAGTTGCGCTATTTTGTAATTTCATCAAATTTGTAAGACTGACAACTGATTTTGTCTAAAATCTTAAAATCACAGTCAGTAAATGTGTCCGGAATCTTTTCTTGCAGATGAACAGGGATTAAACAGGATCATACACACACACAAATTAGTTCACAATTCTTCAAGTTTTTTATGGTACCCATGAAAGTTTTCTCGCCTATGTACTTCATACTGCATTAAAATTGACATACAGATGATGCATATACATGTATCTACTGGCAGTAATAACAACACTGGGTCTTTGCATTGTTAATGTTAGCTTTGTACGTATTTTGTCATCAATAACCCAAATGTCAGTGCAGTTACAAACTAGCATTTATTTAATAAAAAGATACACATGATAAAAACAAGTTTTTACAAAATTTAAGAACGATAACAGGTAAACTCATTCTCACTTTTAAATGAAAATCGGAACATTAATTTCAGAATAACTTGCATTTTGAAACCGAATACTCTACAATTGGAGTATTCAACAAGGCATGTTGTTTGTGCCTTTCTTCACATCTTGGTCTGAAAAAGCTACTTAAAAACAAATTTAACATTTAACATTATCACAATTTTTTTTTCCTATTAACTATGAAGTAAAGTTTAATAATCTTTTCCACTAACCCAGAGTCCCTCATGCAACGCCACGAACTATATGCCTAGGAATGATGCTAGTAATATCACATTACCTATTAAGATTTATGCAAATATCATGCATGCTATGGAATGTTATCTATGTAGCATTCCACTCACTATCTCATTAAACAGGTATATGCCGAGGTACAATGGCAGTAATATCACATTGCCCATTCTGATTTATGCAAACACAACAGCTACTATGGAATGTCATCTATGTAGCATTAGACTAGATGTAGGGATCTATGTAGCATTCCACTCACCAGCCCATTACCAGATATATGCCTGGGTACAATAGCATTAATATCTCATTGCTTATTCTGATTTATGCAAGCACAACACCCATTATGGAAT